CCCCGACCCCTGCCAGCTCATGAAAAAGTAAATGAAGGCCTTTGTGTGTGTGTCCACATATGTCGATGGGATATTTTGTAAGAATTTTTACTCAATGACCGACGGGGGCTTAGACTCTTGCTCAGAAAACTGTGCGCGTGTGTGTGAGCCAGAGAGAGAATTGAGTGTTATCGGGGAAAATCAGGGGTTTTTTGTGCAGTTGGGTTGTGCAGGGTTAGACAGATGCAGGTTGAGAGTGAGATTTTCCTTTAACACTTTTTCAGTTATCAAGGCACTGATTAAACTTTTCTCCCTTCTCTCTTTCTCCTCTGCCTGTTTTTTCATCTCTTAGAAGTACAACCTCTCATAGAGTGGTGGCAAGAGTGACAGGGGAGCACATGAGGAGCGGAAGCGGTGTGACAGCAACATCCTGACCAGTAACCTTGCTTCTGCACCCCACCACACGCCCAGCAACTCCTGAAGCGGGCGTCAGAAGGAAGGAAACGTGCGACCACTCCTCCTGCAGGCATGGTAATACACTCTTGTGTCCGTAGGTGCTGGAGTGTGTATGGCTGTGTGTAGAGAAAGGAAACACTCTCCAGACGGGAGGGTGTAAAGGTTCAATCTGATAACTCGTTCTAGACATGACAACAGAGTGTGTGTGTCAAACAGAGATACCTGATAAGAACCAGTGCAGACAGGGGTGTACAGCTTTTACGTTTTTTGGGGAGTAGATGGGGTTTGAACTATGCATGCTGTATGTTCTCTTCGGGGTAAGAGGAGAAGGAGAAGACGGATACATGAAAGAGACAGAGGAGGTCAAGAAGATAAAGAACAATGAAAGGAAACAGAAGAAGACAGACATGGATAAGGAGGGTGATAATAACAGAAAAAATAATCTTTTTAATTACAGTTGGCTGTTCATTAGGTTTTCCTGTGAAAAGCATCTCTGCCATATGTGTACATTCCCATAGTTGGATAACTAGTAATTATATATGGAATGAATGTGTAATGTGAGCGTGTTCATGTTGATGTTAAATGAGAAGGATACATGAATAATTTCCATTGATCTACAGTTTTCTACAAGTGCACCATCATTACTGCTATTGCTGGTGTGGAAACAAGGTCTGTTTCACACATAATAGCACAAGAGGCGCGTTATGGCAGGAAGAAGGTGCGGAAAAGGAACTACTGTGTTGTTTAGGAGGAGAAGAGGGCGGCTCAGAGGATCAAAGAGAGCAGTAGAGGGAGAGAATGACAAGTGGGGGCAGATAAGACCATAAAAACATAAATGATGGACACAAACATGAGAGATGAAAAGCGCGACGGATACAGAAAGCAAAAAGAGTGTGAAGATGTGTAGGGTGGAGAAATGGGGGAGAAAAGGGAGGTTAAGAAGTGAGGGAGGTAGAGGGAGAGAGAGAGAGACGAGGGATTGATTAATGGTCTTGGCCTGTGACAGTGGGAGCTTTTCCCTGAGGGGGGGAGCACAGCAGAAGATGAATTATTAAAAACCAGAACAAGAGGAGGAAAGAGGAAAAATGCGTACGAAGAATGAGGATAGCAGAAGAAGGTGGAAGGAAGAAGGAAGGAGGAGAGAGGAAAGGAAAGGGGGTGGGGAGGAGAAAATTGAATGATTGAGAGAAAACAAGATGTTGCTGAAGATGCTGAGGTTGGACACTGCAGAAGAGGGCACATGGTTGAGCTCATAAATAACCAAGGGTAATGAGACTAGTGTGTGTGTGTGTGTGTGTGTGTGTGTGTGTGTCGGCAGCTTGCAAACCCAGTATTGTGATTAGTCTTGAGTTATGGTGATGCAGCAAATACTGTGGGTGACCTTGGTGAGGGTGTCACCGAATAAACCGCACAATACACCAAACGGCTTCTTTATTGACTTTCCTCTGAGCTTTCTGCTGTTAATGAATACACATGCACACTGTGTTTGTTCGCGTCTTCATCCCCTCTTTTTTTGCGCCTACGCGCTCACGTTTTGGGATGATTATTTTCGATCAGTGTAGCTTGTTTTATAGCTTGGTCTTCGTATGTGTCTTCATTAGATCACTGCTCATTTTTTGGGGGAGACACTGCAGAAGTTGCCGCATCTGATACTGTGTTAAAATACACAGTAAAATACTCCCATTTTTACATTTTTACACAGTTTTTGATGTATAGTTAGTAGAAGACATAACAAACTGCCTTACAAAAATAGAAATCAGCAAGGTTTTAAAAGCTTTTGTCGAAACATTCTTCCTTAGAACATTTCCCCTTTTCGTATGACATAATTTTATGTTTATTTTAATGTATTGTGGTATTTCCTTCATGTAGACTTGTCCATACTCAATACCGTAATAGCCCACAAACAGTGTAATGTCAGCTCATATGCTTTTAGCAGTACGGTCGTAATATTTTATAGGAAGGCTATAAACCTTTTAAACAATGCCGACACATTAAAGGGGGCAAAGGGCATGGATGAAAAAAAAAATCTCTTACTTTAGTGCAAAGTTGGCTGGGTACTGTAGTTTGGGGAGGCGGGTTTATAAGCTTGATTGATGGCAGCAGACTTTAGATGATCGTCATCTCTGCTGAAACAAGACAGGCTGGGAATTTTGCAGAGGGTGTTGACATGTTCTATATACTGCCCTATATTATATTTTTCTAGCCTTTTTATCTTGTGTTTATCAGGACAGTTGAGAGGTCCGGTCCCACACAGACAGCCTGTTTGTTGTTCTGCTGCTCGATCGTGTTGCCATGAATGTGATTTTGCTTATAGGCTTTGATGTATCTGTACCCTGCTATCGTGTGTGTGTGTGACTGCACGCATGTGGCAATTTGAAAGACAGAGAGAGAGAGAGAGAGAGCACAATAAAACAGGATAGCGGAGTGTGGCGGGCCGGCCTGCCAAGCAGAGTGCAGATAAATCACAGAATGAATTTTTAATGCAATCTCCCCTAGGCTGCTGGATGTTACAGAGACGGTGCTGAGTTTTTTTTTATTTGCGTGTGTGTGTGTTGCTTGTCCCATCATTCCTAGCCTATTTTGTGATGGGCTTTTGAAGTTTTTGAATTTTCTTTCCTCCTTCAACTTCGCTCGGTTTAATGTTGGACTAAAGAAGTGTGACGTTTTCTCAAACACCACTTCTAAAATAGTTTTGCCTGGTATTTATGGGAGAGTGATTTGTTTTTCTTGGTTCTGGTATAGTTTTACTGTGACGGTGTTTTGGCCTGTGTTGTCATTAAATCCAGTTTGCATCTGTCAATCTCTCGTTTGTTTACTTTCGGAGGCTTTCTCCACCTCTCCGTTACCCTTTTCTCTCCCTTATTTCTCTTTCTCTCTTTACCTCGTAGTGTATGCACTTTAGGCACATCACTTATAAATATATCTTGTAAAAATAACACAAAAATAGCACACAATGGCCCACTACTTAAGCACACACTTACAGTACAGTGTTCCTAAATGGTGCTCTATAAATAGCAAAAGATTGATTTTTCTAAAACAAAAAAAAAACAATAATAATAAAGAAAGAAAAGAAAGAAAGGCAGAAAAACATCTCGAACAAAGATATGAGTACAGATTATAAATCCAATCACAGCTGATATTGTTCCAGTGAGTCTTCTCCTTGGCATTGAGTCGTGTAATTTATAGCAGATGGCCAAAGAAAGACAGGATGAGACAGGAAGAGACTAAAAGAGACAGACAGCGATGGCGAGGAGAGTCATTGGATTCTGTTGCTTCTAAAGTGAAGTAGCCGCTACTGACAGTGTGCGTGTCTAACCACAACACCTTTAGCTGAAATCGTTTTACTGCAGGGCATTAAGGACAGAATGGGCAGTGATGGATGGAAGCGATGGAAGTAACGTGTGTGTGTGTGTGTG